CCTGCCTGTGGCAGCGGTTGGAACTGGATAAGCTTTAAGGTCCCTTCCAACTCAAACCATTGTAAGAGTATCTTCTTTGTGGCTCTTTGAAACAGTTACACATGTTCTTGGGAAAATTTAATTAATTTTTATTAAGAATGTTGTCAATTTTAAGATTTATACAATAAGCTGTTTGAATGTGTCTTCTGACCTCATACATATGCCAAGTAGTTTTGCTGGAGCACTTCTGCAGGAAGAAACTAGTATTCTAGGACCTGAATGTTTCAGGAAAAGAAGTGCTGACATATATTAACTACAGTGAGAGAACACTGGAGACTTTTTTTGTTGGCTGTGGGCATGTAATAATTTTATTTCCATTTTGAAACAGTGCTCATTGTTTTAAGAATGATGTATGAAAGGATGGTTTTGTATGAGAGGGTATTGGAGTTTATGGAGAAGTAGACTTTTCTAATCTGCTTATATGGAGGACTGCTAAAGAAAAAAAATGCTTAACCAAGTCTTCCTGGAGTCAATTTGCTAACTACTTAATACACTTTTAAGGACCTGTTTGCTTGCAGTGTTTTATTCATGTTTTAATAGAGTTCTCTATTATTAATTTCAAATATTTTCAATTAAGGAAGAAGTGCAGCCCTCTGGGTAATATTGCAAGCATGCAGATAGCTGGCAATTAAAGTTTTCTGCACATGTAACTACACTCACACAATCCTGAGTAAATTGTTTGAACCTAGAAGAATGCAAATGTCATTATATATAAAAAAAAACTTTCCAAAATGTTTTGTCAATCTAGTGACAGTGTTAAGCATTTAATAAAAATACTTTATCAGAAGGGGAGGATATGCAGAAAGAGAAGATAAGCTTTTAATTACTAAATGAAATATTAATTTTAGGCAAATTTACGAGTATTGCAAAATTAATTCTTACATCAGAAGTTTCTCCTAAATTACAGAGTGAACTTTACTTCAAATTTTATTTTCAAATGTTCTCTTTGAAAATTGCCTGAGACAATACAAGATCTGTGAGGAGGCTGTTCTGTAGTGGGCATCTCAAGCTACAAAATAAGTAGTCCAAACTATTTCTCCTTTCTTACAAAGAGTTTATTGTACGTGATGTTTAGCACAGAAAACTGATAGGACATCTATTCTCCTTTCTGAATGTGGTGTTTCTAGAGTGAGACCGTAACATGTAAAGAAAGCAGGATGGCAACTTGAAATAAGCTTGGGGAGGGAGGAACAAATGTTTTGAATTGTTTTGTAGAACTTCCAAAAATCTATAGAATCATAGAATAGTTAGGGTTGGAAAGGACCTTAGGGTCATTTAGTTCTAACCCCCTTGCCATGGGAGGCATCTTTCTTCATAGCTGTAAAAGAAAAGAGAAGCAGGCTTGGGCAATGTGTTTTTTTAATTGAAATGAGAAGGAGAAAAAATGTTATTTCAATGCTTAGTGATTTTATTTTTCATAGCACTGGCTCATGCTGCCATTTTAATGCTGCATGCCAGTTGCTTCATATATGAGGCAAGAAAGATAAGCTGAAGCTTCTCTTATAATAATCAAATAAATGCAGGGGGCACCTATATAAGAAAATAAATAGGACTTCAGCATCTTCAGTAAGATCAATAAAAGCTATAGCAGCTGTAGATCTGGTAGAATACTAATACAACAAAGCAGTCTTTCCAGTGTAGCATAGCAAGCTTCATATGAGGTGAACAAATAACGAATAGTAACTGAGCTAATAACTTACATTCAGTAAGGGTCTAGGCAAAACATCCTGTATTATTTTAGAATAAAAATGGTAGTAATAATGTATTCAGGAATGAAGCCTGGACCTCAAAAGCCACAGATACAAAAGGGATGGCAGCTGTGCTGACAGCTTCTGTCATCACCTTATACCTTGTACAAAGTGGCAGACTACATATATGGGTGCCAAAAAGTAGCCTCTGAGTTCTTGAGGGTATTTTTCTAGTGAAAGTGAGCACTTTGCATGTGAAATACTAAGCCATGTATGTAAAAATCTAGGACATATGCATGCCTTATTGCACTGGTTCATTAAAATAAGAAGAATCAGTGTCCAGTGTCTTAACATCTTCTGTGGGCCGTATACATCATACCTCTGTGGAGCTGAATCATAGAATCATAGAAACATAGAATCGTTAGGGTTTGAAAGGACCTTAAGATCATCTGGTTCCAACCCCCCTGGCGTGGGCAGGGACACCTTATGCTAAATCATATCACCCAAGGCCTCTTCCAACCTGGCCTTGAACACTGCCAGGGATGGAGCATTCACAACCTCCCTGGGCAACCCATTCCAGTGCCTCACCACCCTAACAGGAAAGAATTTCCTTCTTATATCCAATCTAAACTTCCCCTGTTTAAGTTTTAACCCGTTACCCCTTGTCCTGTCACTACAGTCTTTAATGAAGAGTCCCTCCCCAGCATCCCTATAGGCCCCCTTCAGATATTGGAAGGCTGCTATAAGGTCTCCACGCAGCCTTCTCTTCTCCAGGCTGAACAGCCCCAACTTCCTCAGCCTGTCTTCTACGGGAGGTGCTCCAGTCCCCTGATCATCCTCGTGGCCCTTCTCTGGACTTGTTCCAACAGTTCCATGTCCTTTTTATGTTGAGGACACCAGAACTGCACACAATGCTCCAGGTGAGGTCTCACAAGAGCAGAGTAGAGGGGCAGGATCACCTCCTTCGACCTGCTGGTCACACTCCTTTTAATGCAGCCACGATACGGTTGGCTTTCTGGGCTGCAAGCGCATGCTGCCGGATCATGTTCATTTTCTCACGGACCAGCACTCCCAAGTCCTTCTCCGCAGGGCTGCTTTGAATGTCTTCTTTGCCCAACCTGTAGCTGTGCCTGGGATTGCTCCGACCCAGGTGTAGGACCTTGCACTTGGCATGGTTAAACTTCATGAGGTTGGCATCAGCCCACCTCACAAGCGTGTCATGGTCCCTCTGGATGGCATTCCTTCCCTCCAGGGTATCAACCGAACCACACAGCTTGGTGTCATCGGCAAACTTGCTGAGGGCGCACTCAATCCCACTGTCCATGTCACCGACAAAGATGTGGAACAAGACCGGTCCCAACACCGATCCCTGAGGGACGCCACTCGTTACTGGTCTCCAGCCGGACATTGAGCCATTGACCACAACTCTTTGTGTGCGGCCAGCCAGCCAGTTCTTTATCCACCGAGTGGTCCATCCATCAAATTGATGTCGCTCCAATTTAGAGACAAGGATGTCGTGTGGGACAGTGTCGAACGCTTTGCACAAGTCCAGATAGATGACATCAACTGCTCTACCCTTGTCCATTAATTCTGTAGCCCCACCATAGAAGGCCACCAAATTGGTCAGGCAGGATTTCCCCTTAGTGAAGCCATGCTGGCTGTCCCCAAGCACCTTGTTGTTTTTCATGTGCCTTAGCATGCCATCCAGGAGAATCTGCTCCAAGATTTTGCCAGGCACAGAGGTGAGACTGACTGGTCTGTAATTCCCCGGGTCATCCGTTTTCCCCTTCTTGAAAATGGGGGTTATATTTCCCTTTTTCCAGTCATCGGGAACTTCACCTGACTGCCATGATTTCTCAAATATGATGGCCAGCGGCTTCGCAACTTCATTTGCCAGCTCCTTCAGGACCCGTGGATGGACCTCATCAGGTCCCATGGACTTGTGCACATTCAGATTTTTAAGATGGTCTTGAATCAGTTCCTCTCCTACAGTGGGCGCAAGGTCTTCATTCTCACAGTCCCTGCATCTGCCTTCCAAGACTTGGAATTGAGCCTGTACAATATCTTATTAATCACTCACACATATCCGTGAGTGTTTTGAAAAAAAATGTCCTGTTTGTGTGGTACCGTAATGTTATGGTTTAAACCCAGCCACGCAGCTTGCTCACTCACTCCCCTCTTTCTTGCCCTCCCCCCACTCCCAGAGGGATGGGGAGGAGAATCAAAAGAATGCAACTCACATGGGTTGAGATAAGAACAGTCCAGTAACTAAGGTATAACACAAATCACTATTGCTACCACCAATAATAATAATGATAAAGGAAATCACAAGGGAAGAGAATACAACACCTCAGCACCATCCGACCGATAACTCGCCACCCCAGCCTGACCGAGCACCGACCCGTACCAAGTCCAACCCCACAGTCCACTAGCCCTTCCGGCTAACTCTCAGTTACATCCTCGGCATGACGTGCTGTGGTATGGAATACCTCTTTGGTCAGTTCGGGTCAGGTGTCCTGTCTCTGCTTCCTCCCGGCTTACCCTCCTCCCTGGCAGAGCATGAGGCTCAGAAAGTCCTTGGTCAGTCTAAACATTTGAGCAGCAACTAAAACCATCGGTGTTATCAGCGCTGTTCCCAGGCCAAAAGTCAAAAACATAGCACTGCACCAGCTACTAAGAAGGAGAAAAATGACTGCTACTGCTGAACCCAGGACACATAACCTGAAGGTATTAAATGTTGCTGTACTGTTTATTTTAAAGTTATTTAGTTTAGTTTATACACTAGCAAGTTGCCAAAATAACTTTTAAAATTTAGTGCTGACATGTGTTGCTTTCCAGAGAAATTTTATGCTGTACTGACAAATAACTAAATGTTATGTTGCTGGTGTTTATGGTGCTATGATAACTGTGTGATCGGGTTTATTTCAAGATTTTCATTTGATGCTTAAGCATAGCTGCTGGGTTTTTGAACTTCTGAAATCCTGCTTTTATCTTCTGTTTGTAATTGCAGTAGAACAGCAACTTCACCAAACACCCAGGATCCAGACTGTAGTCCATAACAGTGTTTGTGTTCTTCCTTCTGTAATTACATCTGAATATGTTTGATCTTCATAGCTGAGCAGGAATCTGTTAACTAATCTTTTCTAGTAAACATGTTTTAGTGTTGTAGCTTCTAGAAGATTCCCCACGAGATTCTCCAGTGTATTTCTTTCATTCCCATATTCTGTTCAGTGAGCCTGTCTATATTGTTGACTACTCCATTTTATTTCACAGGAGTATGACTGGGAAAACTACCAGTCAAATGGACTCAGTTCATCTGAACTACAGATGCTGGCTAGCATGAAGAGACAGCAAAGTGAAGAATCAGGGGATACTGGGATCTCCCATGGGCTGAGTGCATCACAGATGAATAACTGCAATGTTAGCCTAAGTACAAGCAGTGAAGATACAGCATCCTGGAACTCTTGTTTCCCACCTGTAAGTCTAACGCCACAGTATTTCCTCTATAGTTTCTGTCAATTCTGAGACTCAAGAATCTTGAATATCAAAATGTGTTTGAGTAGCTTTGAAATTTAAGATACCACTACCAAACGTTTTTAGAATAAGTAAATAAGTAAATAAGTAAAACCTGCAACCAAAACACATGCACTTCCAGCAGGTCCTGTAGTACCACCATGGACAAAGAGCAAATCTAATACATATAATCATAGAATGGTGTGGGTTGGAAGCGACCTTCAAGATCATCTAGTTCCAACCCCCTGTCACGGGCAGGGACACCTTCCACTAGACCAGGTTGCTCAAAGCCCCATCCAACCCAGCCTTGAACACTTTCAGGAATGGGGCATCCACATCTTCTCTGGGCAGCCTGTTCCAGTGTCTCACCACCCTCATTCGGATGAACTTCTTCCTAACACCTAATCTAAATCTTCCCTCTTTTAGTTTAAAGCCATTACCCCTTTTCCTATCACTACATTGGCCTTTTAAAAAGTCAAAGAAACCTCAATTAAATTACTTCTGTAGTCCCACTGAATGCTTACAGGTTAACATTACTTGCTTACTTGTATGTATTTTTTAAATACTAAACCAGATTAAATGATATCACCAGGTTTAAGTAGAAAATCTGCGGAAGAACAAAGAGCAGAAGCCAAATCTTATGACTCTAAAAAACAACCTTTTTAGACATGTTAAAATGATCATGCTGCCCATTCCTATCTTAGATAGTTGTCCTGGTTTTGTCTGAAATATATTAATTTTCTGCATAGCAGCTGGTATGTATTCCTTTCTTGAATCCTGAGTAATCATGTAGGCTGTGCAGCTTGTAAAGTAGTGGCTGGCAACCTGCAAACCTGCAGGTATGTGGTATAGTACCTAAAGATATTTCCAAAATGAGTGAAGCCCAGATATACCAGTCAGCAACTACATTACAGTGTGAGTAATGGAAGATAATTCCTTCTCATGATGATAAAGTCTTATGACTGAAAAGGTAACTGTTGAAAGCACTGAAGGAGAAGAACAGCAGCAAAAAGCTGCAGTAGTTCTGAGCTTTTACTGTCTGATCCTTCTGTATTTCACACCTTGTATCCTTATTTGTCCTGGTACAAGCTGCACTATGTGACAGAGTATTGTTACAAGAAGCAGAATATTTGTTACAGTCCACTGAAGAGTACTGAATGTATGAAATCACAGAACAACATTTCAGCTCCTATATAAAGGTGCTTGCAGGACCTGCTGTAAAACTAGATAACCCCATTCTCCATTTATATCTCAGCAATATAGTTCTTATTCTACTATAGGTGAAACAATAATAAACACTGAATGTGGCTTAAGTAAAGCACACTACACAACTCTCAGAGGACAATCCGATGTTAGAAGAGTAAACACTGCTGTGTTGACCCAATATAAACTGTTGCAGAGTAATTGCTCTAAAGTTTTAGGTGCAAATTACCTTCAGGGATCTGCAGGGACCAAATGGAGGCCTGTATAGCAGCTGTCTTCCATAGTGAATGATCAACACAGCATAGGAACTTTATGGTACACTGGTAAATGAAAGTTTCAAATGAGGTGTATTGCTAAGTAAGTAATTGTACAAATAAGAACTTGCTGTACAGAGTAATGTTTTGCAGGATATTAAGGAAAGATTAGTTGGTTTGAACTATTTGAGATCTGTCAACATTATACATTTAGTTGTAGTTTCATTATTTCCAATATGTTTTCTTAGTACTTACTAATAGACTCCAACATGGTATGAATCTGCAAGACTGGGCCAATGGAACTCAAATAGAGACTAGGACTCTCATCAGGTTTTGGGTGGTTTAATTATAAGGAAATAGATAAGAATATGTAGACATGTCAGGTTTGGTTAATACAAATTAGATTACTAAACCAAAATGGACTTTTAAGATGAAATGTACTGCTGCAGTATTCAGTGAAGCATAATGTGATTGCAAAGACAGTTCTTTGATCTTACTGTCTTGATCATGTTCTGTAGCTTCAGACTAATAGCATCAGTCTAAAAAAGAGCTTAGGTATAATAATTTAGTAATTTAATTTGTAATTTAATATAGCTGTAGTTTTTCATAGTAGTCCTTTGTAGCCATCTCTCTGTAGGTAAATCAAGTGCAAAAGGCAACATATTTGAGAAGTTTTTCAAATTTCATTCAGTTGACTGAAGTGTTGGTATGTCTTATACATGCAGCCTTGTCAGGCTTCTACTCTGTATTTTGCAAGGTGGGCACTGAGGTTTCACAATGTAATGTAGAACCTCCTTTCCAGGAAGAGATCATTTAGAAAGCAAACCTAATCTTTCTCAGATAAGGACTAACCACTTAGTTCCTTGCTACAACAAAGGCTGCTGAAATTCAGCTTCTGCAGTCTTCCCTACCTCGCTTTATGCAAAGGGACTCCCTGTACCAGTGCAGTGTTGGTTAGTCCACAGTACCTGTTGTGATTCACTTCATATTTTCCTTTCTGAGATAGCTGCCATGGCACCAGCTATTCGTAGATGTGGTATAGACACGTGGACATGCTATGGACCTGTGTGCTTAACACTCCTTGTTTTAACTCTGTTCCAGGATTTGGAAAACAGCAGAATATTCACGTGAGGGTGATAATTCATTTTCTAGACCTTTAGTATCTAAGAAGGTTATAAACAGGTTGTTTTTTTTTTAGGGAGGGTGATTATTTAATCACCCCAAGTTGTTCTAACACAGAAGCTTAGAAGAGCAGCTGGGAACATTTTTGGTATGTTGGTGTTAAATTTCAGTATATTTTGTTATGCTTACAACATTTCAGAAGACTTTGAGAATAGTGATGGTGATGCCATGTTCAAATGGATAGCTGAAACATAAATCTTAGAATAGAAAGAGATTAGGTTTTATGTCACTGATCTTTAGTGTAACTGTCACTTGAGTCAAGAGAATTTGCAAATGATCTAGCTTTCCAAATTCAGATGTACAAACTGCAGGAAAGTGTGTATATATAGTATATATCTAGCCATCTTCCAGGTGCACAGGCAAATGAGTTTAGCAGTGCAGTGTATAGAATAGAAATATTCCTGGTATTGTAGTTTGAGAAATTAAGGACAGCTTGAAATTCTTGTCACAATTAAACTTTCATGCTTACATATGTTTCCAGGTTGTGTCTTTCTGATTATTTAAGCCAGTAGTATCTACTGCTTTCTCTTATGTTCTTCAAAGATAAGTAAGGAATATTTTTATTCAAATTTTCATTCATTTTGTACATTTTTGTCTCTTAGTGGAATCTGTGGCAACAGCACCACCAGAAGACAGCTTTTTGTCTATCATCTTGAAATACCTGTGAAGTTCTGAAAGGCAGGGCAGGATATAATCATGTTAGATAGTGACCCTATGTATCAAAGTAATATTTTACATATATAAAGCACATTTTCACTGAGTTTATTTTTTCATCACTTGCCATTGCTACTCTGAGTTCCAGATTTATTGAAAATTCTCATGTTTCTGAGTCTAATGAGTCTAAGAAACCCATCTGAATGTAAAGATCAATCATATTGCTTAGTTGCAGTTAGAACAGATGTCCCTAAACAACTATAAAACAGATACACTGAAACTGGATATTTCATGCTATGAGAACTGAATATAGGCTGCTAGGAGAGCTGAATATAGGCTACCAGGAGAAATATAAGCTGTTTAGCAGCTGGTGTAAACTATGACAGCCAAAAGGAATAAACCAGCTTTCAATATTATACATTACCCAGCAGAGCTGTAAGTTATAAATATGAGAAACTTTTATTTTAAAATGGATTTACTTCAAAGAATAATTGTAAATCCTTGTAAAATGGGGGGAGGAAGGGGGAGAGCACATTTCCAAATCAGTAATATCTCCATGTAGAACTGAGTATTTGTAAAGACTTTGAGTGTGTCTTACCTGAATATTTTCTGAAATCTGAAGGTGTATGAAATTGCATGTTAGCTTTGCAACAATATGCAAGACAGAGGTCTGTATACTGCAGAGTATAATGTGAAGTTTAGACCCACCAATATACACATTAACCAAGAAAATTTGCCAAGCTGATAAAATATTTCTGCTTTGGTGCCTTGTTTTATTCTAGAGATCCAGTAAGACCTTCCTGTGCTGTCAGGGTATTTGCCTATTTAGCTTCTTGGATAGCTGTTTCCATACTTCAGAGACCACTTCAGATGTACAAGAACCATCCTGGAGATCATGTATAAGAGATTTCAGGATATCTTATTACATTTGGTCTCTGATTCTCAGCCAGAAATGCAAAAGAAAAGGAAGGTTCTCATAGATTGCTCATTGAAACATCTTGGAAGCTTGCCGTGGTTTAATGCTGCATTAGCAGACTCCAGCATGCATTCACTACTAAGACCTGTCTTTTGAGTAAGGAGTACTCACAGAAAAGAAAGATTACTTGTTCTTCAAGCAGCTTCCTAAGTATAAATTCAGTCCTGATTTGTGGAAGGTCTTCTGTTTTCCTTTACAATGGTTGAGAAAAGAAAGCCACTTCACATGGCAGTGGTTTGGCAGAACTGAAGTCTGACAGACAAGAGGAGTGATATTTAAACCCAGAATTATTCCAACTGAGAGCTCGGTCTGATGACCCCTGGAGGGGTCTGTTCACATCAAGTCAAGTTGCAAAACTGAGGCAGACTATTCCTTATTATGAAATGAGACTAGAAGTTACTTAGATATTCTGGTTCACAGACTGACTAGTTCACTTTCTGTTTCATTCTCAGTCTTCCGCTAGCCATCATTTGGGAATTGCACTACGCACCACCAGGCAGTGACTCATATTTGGCAGTAATTAGGATGTCATTCATCCTGTACATACATTTTACAACATCCCTCTGCACTTCCTGAAACCGTGAGAAGATACTCATTTTTATATTGATTTCTGTAAAAAAAGGCAATTGCTTTCATAGTGCTTAGTGTTTATTTTTAGCATTTCATGTACTAAGTCGTACAGGTCTTGTTAATGTATGCTTGTATTTTCACTTCTTTTGCACTTGCTTCAGTGATTCAGTTAGAGCTGCTTTTGAGGTGTGTGACAATGGGAGGGGGGTCTCTTCTGGAAGCCCCACAAATATACTGAGAGAAAATACATTTCTGAATGTTAGAATTCTTGAATTTTTGTACCAGTTCATGAATATGAATATGTCTCTAGACATATCAAGGATGAGGGGCTCATTAAGAGCAGCCAACATGGCTTTACCAAGGGGAAGTCATGTTTGACCAACCTTATAGCCTTCTATGAGCAAGTAACTAGGTGGATGGATTATGGTAGAGCAGTAGATGTGGTTTTTCTTGATTTCAGTAAGGCATTTGCTACTGTCTCCCACAGCATCCTCATAGATAAGCTAAGGAATTGTGTGCTTGATGATCAGGTAGTGAGGTGGATCAAGAACTGGTTGGAAGGAAGAAGGCAGAGAGTTGTGGTCAATGGGGCAGAATCTAGCTGGAGGTCTGTGACTAGTGGAGTCCCTCAGGGGTCGGTGCTGGGACCAGTGCTGTTTAATATTTTCATCAACCACCTGGGTGAGGGAACTGAATGTACCCTCAGCAAGTTTGCTGATGATACTGAACTGGGAGGAGTGGCTGACACACCAGAGGGCTGTGTTGCCATTCAGCGAGGCCTGGACAGGTTGGAGAGTTGGGTGGAGAGGAACTTGATGAAATTCAACAAGGGCAAGTGTAGAGTCTTGCATCTGGGGAAGAACAACCCCATGTACCAGTACAGGTTGGGGGCTGACCTGCTGGACAGTAGTGAAGGGGAAAGGGACCTGGGGGTCCTGGTGGACAGGAGGATGACCATAAGCCAGCAATGTGCCCCTGTGGCCAAGGCCAATGGCATCCTGGGGTGTATTAGAAGGGGGGTGGTTAGTAGGTCAAGAGATGTTCTCCTCCCCCTCTACTCTGCCTTGGTGAGGCTGCATCTGGAATACTGTGTGCAGTTCTGGGCCCCACAGTTCAAGAAGGACAGGGAATTGCTTGAAAGAGTCCGGCACAGAGCCACAAAGATGATTATGGGAATGGAACGTCTCTCTTATGAGGAGAGGCTGAGGGAGCTGGGTCTCTTTAGCTTGGAGAAGAGGAGACTGGGGGGTGACCTCATCAATGTTTACAAATATATAAAGGGTGAGTGTCAGGATGATGGAGCTAGCTTTTTTCAGTGATGTCCAGTGACAGGACAAGGCAATGGGTGTGAACTGGAGCATAGGAGGTTCCATGTGAACATCAGGAAAAATGTCTTTATTGTGAGAGTGACAGAGCGCTGGAACAGGTTGCCCAGGGGGGTTGTGGAGTCTCCTACGTTGGAGATATTCAAGGCCCGCCTGGACAAGTTTCTGTGTGATGTACTCTAGGTTACCCTGTTCTTGCAGGGGGGTTGGACTAGGTGATCTTTTGAGGTCCCTTCCAACCCTTGGGGTTCTGTGATTCTGTGAATATTGGTCTTCCAAATAACTTTTTAATGCCACAGACCAAAGGTAGTTTGAGAACTTTGGTGTGGGGAGTGAAGGCAATAAGATCTGCATGAAGAAGAGTTTGGGAATGAGCTCTGAGGCCTTAGTGCTTGACAAGCCCTGGGGCGATGAGTTGGGGCTTTGAAGGCCAGGGAACGTCAAAAAACAAGTCTTGGGGGGGATGGGCCAGGATGTAGTTGTGGTGGAAGTCTCAGTTGATGATGTGGGGGTTGTGAGAGGGTCTGCAGCATTGTGATTGGACTATTTACCTGGAGAATTTTACAGAGGCCAGTGAGATTGAATGTGGCATGCTTGTGCAGGTTCAGAAAGTACCAAACAAGGGGATAAAAAAGGCTTGATTGTAATAAAGCTGGATTTGAGTCTCCTCATCTACTTGAGTCCGTGTCGTGAAACGCCACACTTTGGGGCATATTCTTAACAATGAATAAGTAACATTTGAAGACTAGAAAATTATAATCTTTTGTATGAATGTTCACACAGTCCACATTACCTAGTCATAAATAGCTGAATCCAGGTATCAAGTTGACAGTGCCATAGGGAATCATTTCTGCTTCAGCAAATTTCATTTGGGACTGCTCAGGTTACTCTTACCGGTACTTCTGAGGAGAGATGAGCCAGGCCTGCCAGCCCTATTAGCTCTGCTTCAGTTTTGTCCCATCTTAAGAATGGTTGGTTCTGCACAGATCCTACTAAGAGTTCCTGCACCGTGCTTTCTATACACATACAGTCCAGATTTTCCTATCAGACAAGACTTTGCCACCCTCCCTCTCTGAAGCTTCCTGACTCAGCCCCAACACTCACAGGCAGTAGAGAAATGACCATGTGGTCAAGTCTTTAATTCATGTTTATTTCCAGCCAGGTAAGAATCATCTGTTATGTCGTACTTTTGCACAGTTAGAATCTGAATATCCGTTTTTAATTTCACAGGTAAGGAAAAAGGCCGTAAAATTCTAATATCAGAAGCTGCAAATGTGTATGCTCATAAAAGATCTCTTGCATACTTCTAAACATACTGAAAGGATATTTGCAGAGTCATTTTCTCACTTTTATGTTTTGCTTTCCATAGCCCACCAGTCAGGAGCATCACTATCAGAAAGAAATGAGCCCACTTTCTCACTCCAACCCGCGGTAAGATTCCATTTATAGCCTGGGCAGTAAGGACTTAGTTAGAGTATCCTGAATATTAAGTGTGACATTCTTTGAATTAACCTTAAATCACTTTAAGAGGGCTTTACTATTGCTCGTTTCAGTCATTATCTGCATTATGTCTGTGTTGTCCTGGAATGCAGAACTGAATTCCGCATGTTTTGGATGTACCACTGTGTATTTAATGTAACTGACACAAGCCTTGCTCCTACAGCTGCTTTGATGCATGATTCAGGAAATCTTCCTCATCTGACATACATCCGCTCTCATCTCTTTCTTTCTCCCTCACTCCCTCTCTGCTTTGAAGGCTTAGAAGTAGAATTCTGCACGTGACTGTAGGTGTCAGGGAATCCACTTGTTACAGAAGATTTTAATGTTATTTAGACGGGTTTTTTTTTTTTAATAGATAGCCCAGTCAGAAGAGGGTGTTACAACTCTGTGGAATAGTTCAAATTGATCCTGTGTGCAACATATTTTGGCTGTCAGGTTTTTAGCTTGTTCTGTTTTGTTTGTAATTAGCAAGAAAATCCCTGTGACTTTAATATGAGGCAAAATGAAGACAAGGGGAGAGGATGGCTAGGGAGAAATAATCAGATTGAGATGATCAAAATTAATTGTCCACTTCCAGGTGAAACCCTAACATCACTTTGTCAATTTTTTAACAGCCTGAACAAGAGGTGTACTTATTTTTAAAAGTAGAGTGATTTCACTTGGTGGTGTTAATGCTGATTTTGCTTGTCCACGTTTTGAATGGACAATGTATGTGTGTTGGGAGGGATAGGAGCAGATGACATTTCAGATACTTCTTTAGCTTTTATCAGTGGTATGAAGTGTTTTCTGACAGCACACTGCCAGTTAGTTCTGCAGAATAATACACGTTTTTCCTCGCACAGATGTTTTCAGTCACTTATTTCCCTTGCCATCCGTGTTTTTATGGATTTAAAATGTTCTTGTTAGATTTTATGAAGTGAACACTATGAAACTTGCCATGCAAGTTCTTCCAGATACGTCAGTTACTGCAACGTGCAGCCATAGGCTTCCTAGTACACACAATATATTACTTGAGTTAAAATACAATCCTGGATTCCCACCCCCTTGCACATGTAAATCCAAGTGTTTTATGTTGGTCTAGAAAAGCTCTCTGCCTTGGGTGTTGGTTATCACAACTATAGACACAACTATAGTCCTCAGAGTAAGGTTATGACGTACCTTGAGGCTGACACTTTGGACTCTGATTCCAGAATCAGTTTCATAATTCTGATGGCATTAGAATTGCCTGTATTTTAGTGCAAGGTATGTTGTTTGTCTCTTTCTGCCCATATATTGGTAGAGTCAAGTTTTATTAAGTTATTTTTATGCATGTGCTAAAGCAGTTTGGTACTCAGTGCATTTTATATAGGAAAAGGAGAATAAATATCATTATATGTAGAAATAAAGCTTTCCATCATGTCAAGTTAATGTGATCAACAATGAAAACCTGCATTTCCATGTAATGAAATTTAAAAGAGAATGGTATAAATTACAACTTAGTTCTCATGCTATTTTAGTCCAGCACACATGGTAGACTTTAATTTCTCTAGAAATCATTTGCGAGAAATTCAGGCAAAGTATTCGTAAAATACCTGACCTGCAAGTGCCTCATAAATTCAGTAGCCTTTGTGAACTGCCAGAAAAGCGTTATTGGGCTGTAAATACAGAAGATGACAAAATTATGGGATCAGTTTGCATCATGATATAAAAACTGGAGATGATGTGACTTGAATATCATTATTCACGTCATTACCTTTCATTTATAATGGAAAACTCTGTAATGTTTTTCACAGGGGGTGTGTACCTAAGCGAGAGCGAGATAATTAATTTTAATGATAATTTATAAGTTGGCTCCTAAACTGTTTTCAAAGCCAGTTTTAACAAGTCATGTATGAGCAAGTAGAAAATGTCTAAATCTTTGTAAGCTTACTACAATAGTGTAGAACAACACACAGAATATTTCAAAAACCCCATGTAGATGAGTAGCTATAAATACCATGGAATTAAGACAATTACTTGCTTCTGTGCACTTACTGAAACAACAAATAGTTTGTTGTAAGGAGTGATACAGAATTTGACAGGTCTAAAGTAACTTTAAAAAGTGTAATAGTGATATATTCTGGGAAATGAAAAGAGAGCAGTGTGGAAGCTATTGTCCAGTAAATGTAGCTTCTGTCCATGATAAGATAAAAGAACAAGCCAGGAAAGAAAGCACCTGTGAAGATAATAGAAATGCAGTCGATAAAAAGACCCAGCTAGACTAATTTTCCATTGGTTCTGCTGAGGAACGGTCATAAATCTGCTAAGAATACTGCTACTGCAATACAAATCATCTCCACATCATGCTGCTTTGCAAGGTGTAGAACCAGTTAATGAAAGGAGGCAGGCTGACTGCGGAGGCTACAGAGCCAGATGAGCAAGATGATGTGCAGCGTTTCAGGCCTTAGCTATGTACTTCCCACTGACTGATGAGCTGTATGGTCCTAGCTGAACTTCAGAATTGCTCTCTTCTCTCCAAATAGGAAGCTGTAATTATCTGTGTTACTTCTTCCTCCAGTGCAGGGACTGGAAATTGTGAATTCTTGCTTAGCAAGCATTTGTCCTCCTAAATAATTGTGTGTCATAGAAGGTTTGGAAGCTTCTTCAAAAGAAATGTTAAAAGAAAGTCAATATGCTAGAGGAATTTCAGCTATACTGAACTCTAAAATGTAGAGCTGCTCTCTGAAAAAGATCACTCGAGCCTAATCTCATGAATGATTTTCTCAACTTCTACAGATGCTTTCAAAAAAATGTATTTCTGATAAAAGCTGATTTTTCTGTCTTTGTGGTGTTTGGTTTCTTTTAATACATAGAAACCTGTCTGTGTAATCATTGCCTCACAAGATCCTCTCTTCGCATTCTACTTAACTCTTCCCAAGCTACCAAATAAAATGTATTCCTCTGAAGTTCTATCAGCTGTTCCCCAGTAACTACACAAGAAAGACACAAATATTTCAGCATTTCATTGGCCATCCTTTCACAAGAAGTTTATTTTACTTAAGTAATACTGTACAAAATGTACACAGCCAGATTTTCAGTTAGTTTTTCCCAGATCTTTAACTTTATTGTGGGCACAGAGCTGCATGGAAATGTGATACAATTCAGGATGTCATTTTGCCTAGATTTGTTTTATCTATTAAAAGTGCCACCACTGTGCTGTGGTTTAAGTCATTTGTAGCTCTGCAGTTGTGGATGTAATATAAAATTCCTTCTACCTATAATTAGCTTATATGGGCCCGCAGTCTTTGACAAATGGTTGATAGTCACTGTCCTCACTTCACATGGGCTTAGTACAGGCTGACTAAAGCAAGCTGCTTATCATTGTAACCTACATTTGTTACACTGGACTGATGAGGATGTCATCATTCTTCTTTCCTCTACAATCAAAGGAAAAACCCAACCCCAAAACAAAACCAACCTCAAAAAGAGCTAATTTTTCTTCTTTTTTTCTTTTTCGTAAAGGTCTCTCTCCAGTTATGATAAATGTTAAAGATTTGAGATTTATCATCACTAAAGAAAGGTTTCACTGATGTGGAGATGAAGTCTTTGAGGAGGACAGTAAATATAAACTTTTCAGAAAAAGGTGTTTTATCCTCACAAGAAAAGAGTAGTGCCCATATCCTTAATTACTGCTTTATCAAACAATGAGATTTTCCTTTCTGTTATAATGATACACATGCACAGTAGTTCAGATAATGTATCATGAAATGATAAATATGTTCCTTTAATTCTTTTCAAACGTTATTATTGTTAAACTTCTGGTATATTAGTTAAATATACCAAACACCCCTTTCTATGCATCTGACTGTTCCATTGATTTTTAGGAAGTAACTTGTTTCTTTAACTTTCAGAGTTTCTGCCAGAGAAGTCTTGTTTTAGAACCTATTGTTGCCATGAACAGTGCTATTACCATGGAACCTTAAATTTGGATAATATATCAATGATTTCAGCACAAAACTACATCCACTGCAAAGCCGCAAGTATTAAAAGTATGTTCAGCTTTGATACCACCATACTCTCATCCATCCCCAATGAAAACTAGATATTCCAATAGCTGCCTCATGTGGTGTTATACTGTTAAGAGATTTGGTAAAATTAAACTCCCCTATGGAATAGTGCAGTTAAGAGAAGGATGGGAGTGATAACATTTATTTTCGCTGCTGCAGAACTTCTCCAGCATGCATGCTGTGAAATTCAGAAACAAAAGGTCTTTGTTTCCTGTATTTCCAAGCAAAGGAGTAAATAGCAGAATAACTTAAAAGTTAAGCACATTTGAAGATTAAGTTTTGCAAACAAAGCATAGTTATTTTTATGATTCATTACAGGATCAAAGTCATACAGTTCCATTACTTCTGCAAAACAGAAAATGCTCCATTATGAAGTAGTATGAAATTACACAACTGTTGTGAAAATAAGTGAAGAACAATGTATCACAAAATGTACTTTGGTTTTTCATTGTGTTTGTTCAGTTACTTATCCACAAAATAGGTGCAATAGGTCTCCCAAGTCGTTAATCTGAATTAGTGAAGTTCTGCTGCATTTGTCAGGCTGTAATATGCATGAAAAGGGAACATGACAAAAGAAGCAAATGGCACAGGAAACATCTTGTTGGGAGGTTAATTTTTTTAATCACGATGGTGAAAAGCTTAGCTGCAGGCAGGTTGTTGAGAACCAAGTGGCTAACATATAAAAGCATGTTAAAATAACCCAAAATCTCTTTCCCTTGTATGGGAATCTGAGAACATGGAAACAGGGCAGCATATATGCTATGGGTTTGAATATAAAATGTAGCAAATGCTTTCAAACATTTTGCTGTTGCATCTATGTTAATGTAAGGTAGTTTATCTCCTTTTTTTTTTTTGCAGCTTCAGGATTTACTGAGATTTGCTTTTTTATTGGTTCCACTCTTTTTC